CTTGTCATGGACCAATCAAGTTTGATGCTTCTGTTCATTTCTCTATTTATAATGGCTTTGCGTTCAGTATTTTAGTACTTAGTACATAAAAGTCTGAACTGTCATGTTCACTATTGTGAGCATGAAAGGATTCCCGTGCCCCATTTTACTTTGCTGTCCTATCCGCCTATAAAACTATGCTAACTACATTAGAGAAATCTGTAGTCCTGCATTTTGCCTCTCAGAAGTTAACGGTAACAGAACAAATGTGGAGAGGACAACTACAGAGGAATGAGCAAAGTTATGGGAACTCACTCAATGATTTGGTCTCTTCAGAGAAAAAAGCTGAAGATTAAGGTTTATGACTGAAGTTTGTAAAACTGTGTAAACACTATCAATAGGATAAACTCTCCCTGAAACTCAGACTGTTAGAACAAGAGGCTAGTTTAGTTTCTAAGTCTGAAGAAAATAGGTTTCATTGAAATAAAAGGAAATTTAGCTTCAAAACTTAGATCAAATATTGCATTCTCTAGAAAGCCTTTCCCCCTTCTCCCCAGACTCCCCCTGGGTTAAGTACCATGCTTGGCTGTATGTTCCCACTGGTGTGCCCAGGTTTATAACTATCATAAATACTTTTATGCCTTATTTTAATTATTTAATTATCTGTCTTCTCTACTAGACTGGAGGCTCCTTGGGGTCTTTTTCAGTATTTTGTTCAAAATTCTCAATATGTAGTAAGCATTCAGTGAATGTGGGGGTTAGAGTAGAGATGAGTACAAGCAGACAATAAATGTATATAACTCATTCCTATTGGAAAAACAAAATTAAATTATGCCTGATTTTTTATTTTCCAGATAAAATCTTAAATATCTGTAGTGGAGTATTCAGAAAATCTAGATTATTTGGTTGGGCAGTAGATCCCTGATTCTTATAAAAACTTTAAATGCTTTTTGGTTTAGTAAAGTTGATACTCACTTCCTGACTCCAAGCAAAACATGAAGGCCTCGGTGAGATACTGAGATTAGAGAAGTGAGCAACAGGGATCCAGAATTGGAAATCGAATTATGATGGTGCCTAGGCACAGAGAGCCCATTTTTATGGGCTGTTATGTAAACTAAAAGATTTGCGTCTCAGAGTTCTGAGGTTCAGCACTGACACTGTTACCATATAGACCAGCGGCTGCAACACAGCAGCCCATGGGCCAAATCTGACTTAAACATGTTTTGTTTTGTCTGCCTGGAAAAATTTGCAAACTTTTGTTCAAAATCCAGATTCGAGTCTTCAAGCCTGCTTTTTAAAACAAAATTATCTAGTGACCTACTCCCCTAGTAACATGTCCTCTTTAAATAGGACGTGAGCTTTCCAGTTTGCTTCAATCCCCACTGCTTCCAGCCCAAGTTTTCTCATTTGTTTACCTGATTGCTTCCTAAAGGTATTCAAGTTTGCATCCCCTAATAGCCTCCAAGAACCTCATCTTAAAAAGACCTGATAAAGATCCAGCCGTTGGGGCCGGCCAAGTGGCTCAGTTGGTTAAGAGTTTGCTTAAGAGCACAAGCGCTAAGCAACAGGGTCGCTGGTTCAATTCCCACATGGGCCAGTGAGCTTCATCCGAGCTGAGCTGTTGCTGAGCTGCCAACAGGTGGCAGGATGGCTCAGCTGGTGAGAGTATGTGCTCCTAATAACAAGATTGCCTGTTCGATGGTGGGCTACGCCCATCCACGGCTGGGACTGAATTTGGCACCTTGAGCTGAGCTGCCTCCCAGATGGCTCAGTGGATAGAGCGTGTGCACTCTTAACAGCAAGGTTACCAGTTTGATTCCCGCATGAAAAAAAAGATGAAATCACCATTATGTGAATAATATCCTTTAAAATTTTTATAAATGAAACTATGATAGTTTTATTTTCATTTTCAGTTTTACTTCAGAGCCACATGTACATACCCAAAAGCCGCATGTGGCTCGCGGGCCGCAGTTTGCTGACCCCTGGTCTAGGGGATGTGGCAGTAGATAGCGGGACAGGTCTGGTTCCAAGCCACATACCCTATCAACAGCCCAAATTTCTGATTAACTAGAATTAGCTCTAATGTCATTGTTTTATATTTTGTGCTTTCTCAAAATAATTTCAATTGGAGATTAAAATTTTTCTTGTTAGTGGTAGTGCTCTAGTTCAAGTGCTCAAGTTCAAACCTTGATGTTACCAATAGAGAAAAAGACTTATTTTGGAGGTAAAGTGATTTGTCCAGGGTCACACAGCTAGTTAATGCTGGAGCTGCCTGCATTTACACATGACTAAAGCAGGAAGAGTAAAACTAAGCAAACAGTGTCTACCTTTTGCCTCTTTGCTATTTTTTGCAAATATGATGTGTATTAAAATTTTACTTTTTATTAGTACATTAAAAGTCTATGTATAATATAGACTAATATTTAATTTAACATACAGTTTTGGAATCCTTCAGGCTTATTTTCTGAACAATGCCTTCCTATATAGAAAGAAGACCTAGATTTACCCTTGAATCCAGTTAAAATACAGTACTTCCAGTTTTGGAGACTCTGGATTGCTCACTGGCTGACTAATTTCAGCAACACCATGTTAGATTTTATGAACTATACTCTTACAATAATCACAAATGCTTCCCTAGTGCAGTACTTAGAAATCTTTATTATTGACCTCATGGATTCATGTTCATGGTTTCTCTTTTTCTGCAGGTGGTCATAATGTCACAATCTCCTTGCAGTCCAGGACTGGCCACACCCATATGCCTTCTGTGGTTGGCGTCCTTGTCTTTACGCAGTTCTGGTTCTGGTTTCCTCTTTCACACTTCCTGTCATTGGCTTATACCCCTACCTGTGTCATTGGCCTTAACAAGGACTTAAAGGTATGTTTGTGAGACCTCACTTTCTTCTTCATTGTATTCTGTTCACCACCCACTCATGAGGATTTTCATGAAATTTTAAAGATGAGGTGGCATCTCATCAATAAATTATTTCCCCTTCAAATTAAGTCATCACCGTGTTGAGTGGAATGTGTTGAAATTTTGAATATCAAGCCTCCTTACTAACTTTGTAACCTTGGGTAAATCAATTGAGAGGGAATGGTGAGAGAGAGGACAAAACATGAAAATATGAAAAAGCTTTATAGATCATTTTGATGAACTTTATTAATACTAAAAATCTGTGGGAGCTGTGGAAGGATTTCATGCAGGTAAATAGCATAATGAGGTTTGCATTCTAGAAGCATCAGCCTGGTATCGATGGAAATCCATTACAATGGCATTGCAATAATCTGGGCAAGGAAAAAAGAGGACCTAAACGAAATCTTAATAAGGAATGAAGGTTTGAGACAAGGACATGTTTCAGAGTTATTTGATGCTAGAGTATTTGATGGAAGAAAGGATTATTACTAAAGGGAAAAACAAAGATTTCCCTTTGGTAGTGGCAAAAAACACCACCAACTGCAGGGAGCCAGGGAATCTGACAGAAAGAAACTAGTCACTTAAGTCAAGGACTTAAGGTGATACATCCCCTGTCATCACACCATCCTTTTTAAATGGGGTTTGTGCTTAGGTTCTTTCTCAGTCCTATGGCCCGATGATTCATTCACCTTGCTCTTCCATCCTCTCAAAAGACCTTTTTAACCTTAAGTAACTCTTACATCTGGTCATCACTGTTGTTAAAATGTTCGGTTAAGTTCTCAAGAGTGAAAAAATTTGGGGCCAAAAAAAATGGCTGATAAAGATTAAGTATTTCATTGAATTGATTCTTTTCAGTATAGCAGTACAGCCAATTATCCTTTCAGTATTTCAGCATTAAACTACTCACATATGAAAATATTGAGCAGTTTTATCTCTCAAAACAAGAATCTTTTGGTTTCCCAACCCCTAACCTTTGACATTGTGGTTAAACATCCTGTATAATCTTTACGGAATTACTCCTATGGCACACAATTTTATGACCTCTGTTTCTGTTCTTCACAGTGAAAATGGGATGGGAAGACAAGAATTCTTGACCTAGTATATATGATGCTTATTGCCATTCTTGATCAGTGCAAACTAGGTAAACAGAAAAATTCAGACAAGAGAACTTTAAACCGGGTCAATTAGTGATGTGAAGCTGACTTGTGCATCAGGCTCATGTTATAATAGAATCTTGTACAGTATGATTATATGGCGTAGAAACTGTATACAAACTTATACAGGTGTTAGTGTGGTGCACGGAAGGGATGTGGACGTTAGTTATGCAGGCTAGATGATCACATAACACTTGAAAAGGAGGTACAGTTGATCTAATGCTCACACCGCAAGTGGGAGTTAACCCGCTGAAGCAGGGTGCATGCTCAGTAAAGAGATAAAAGGATGTCTGTTCAAAGGCACAGAGCTTCAGGAAAGTATAGGAACTGCAGGTAGCTCTGTAAAGCACCACAAAACTAACTCACTGAAAGAATGAATATAAATGCCTTATTTAAGGGAGGAATGATAACATAAATTGAATAGCACTGTAATTGAACATTTTGCCTGAATTGAAACTTCTGGCATCCCTTTGCGTTTGTATGCTTAAGAGTATATAATACTTAAATCTTGATTTTGATTATTTTAATGGAGGGGGTAATTCTTTTGTCTTCAGATGCCGAAAGTGCAGTATAAATCGAACTGTAAACCATCCACATTTGCATATCCTGCTCCTCTGGAAGTACCAAAAGAAAAAGAGAAGGAAAAGGTAGGTTCTTTGTTCCTTTGAGCAGCATCTGTACTTATATATAGGAACTGTTTAGTGTTTCATTTGAGTTTGTTTTACATATTTTTGTATTTTAAATTAGACACTTTTAAAGTAATACTTCTTAAGGTAAAATCTAACATTGTATGAGAATAAAGTAAGAGCCCTCTTTCTCTCCTGGTCATTCAAGTCCCATGTTGCAGGAATCACAATTTGTGAATCTCTCCAAATGTTTTCTCTGCAGCTATCAATACTTTTTATACCACAAATAGAATTATCCTCTATATACTTTTGGGTTGTCGGAAAAGTCATGATGTATTTTTGCAACGAAAAACGTAGAAAAAATACCTCATGACTTTTCCGACAACCCAATATTCTGCATCTTATTGTTTTCACTTAAACAGTTTGTCTTTAAAACTTTCAGTGTATATGGCTCTTGTTTTCTTCCAAAGCTGCAAAGCAGTCGCTTTACGTATATATCATTTGTCTTACCAGCACCTTATCTGACGGATATTTAAGGTTATTTCTAATTTGTCACTGTCACAAATGAAACTGGAATAAGAGTCTTTATATACATATATTTGTGCACTAGTACAAATATATCTGTAGGTTAGTATCTTAGATGTGGAATTGCTTGATCAAAAGTAATGCACATTGGGGCAGCCAGTTAGCTCAGTTGGTTAGAGTGCAGTGCTCATAACACCAAGGTTGCCGGTTCGATCCCCACATGGGCCACTGAGCTGTGACCTCCACAACTAGACTGAAGACAACTACTTGACTTGGAGTTGATAGGTCCTGGAAAAGCACACTGTTCACCAATTTTAAAAAAAAGTAATGCACATTATTTATTTTCATAGGTATTAACTAAATTTCCCTCAAAATGGATATAAACATTTATACTCCTACCAGCAGTGTATGAGGACGTTCGTCAATACATGTTAAATCAAACTGGTGAATTAGAGAGCTGAACTTGCCCCTGAAGTTTTCTTAGTAAAATTACCCTTCATGATACCTTATGTTTAGCAAAGTGGTTCTTTCTCTCAAGATAATGTTCCATATTAGCCAGTTGTTGATTATTTGCTGTAAATTTGTGTTTAAGTAGGGATAATTATATAATTGACCTAATTTGAGGGTGGTGGATAATAAATATCCTTTGATGACAACATCTTATTTCATCAGCTGTTTTGGGTCTGAAACAAAGTCAGTTTGCGCCAATACTGCCCAGCCTTTCAGAGGCCCTGTTTCACCTTTGATTTCAATGAAGCCCATCAAGGAGGAGAATTCCAGGCTAATCATTCACCCACTGTGTATTTCCAGGGCATCTAGTCCAATGAGAGTATCTTTACGACCAGGTGTGAAAGAAATTTTTATGTTTTCCAGTGCTTTCCCTGTAAAGTGAAAAAGGGTACAGTACCCAAATCTCTATTTTAGAAGCTCATGATAGCAAATCCACATCCAACGTAAGCTTCAGATTTTTTAAAAAAAAAGTTCTATTGGACACAAGCTTCACTTGATAACTATAGTAATAAATTATGTGAATAAATGTCCTGCTTGCTTTTCCCATTTATTCCTTGATTATGTTGTTCTTTATGATACTTGCTGCCAGGAAATAGAATAGTATTGTGGGACTGAGTTCTCTTTGGACTAGTACATTTTTATATAGATAAGGGATTATAATGGTTTACCCTGTCTGTTCGTTTCCTTTAGGTTTCCACAGCTGTGTTATCTATTACTGCCAAGGCTAAAAAGAAAGAAAAAGAAAAAGAAAAAAAAGAGGAGGAGAAAATGGAAGTGGTAGGTATAACTTGGTGGTCATATGGGCTGATTTATCTATCTCTGCCATGGTCTACGTTCTTCCTTACTTAAACGTTATTATACCATGCTCTTGGCTTCCTTTAAATAATTATCCTGTTCCAATCATAAAAACTCATAAAATTTTAATTGGAAGAGACTTAAGAAATTATTTTCATTCATGGGAAGAAAAGAACATTTCATGGTACAAATCAGGAAAGAGTTCTTGGAGGAAATGACAACTGAAATGGGTCATTTGCTTAAATAGACCCTTTTTTTCTGATCTCTGCTAGTAAAAAAAAAAAAAAAAACCTACTCTTCCTTTTAAACCATGTTAAATACCATTCTCACCCCCAAGCAGGGATATCCTCTCCCTCTGCTGAGTCTGATATTACTTTAGTTGTACCTCCGTTGTATCTAATCCTAACTACTTTTTATACCTAATAGTTGCTTAGTAAAATTATCAAACATTATTCAGTGATGTGGAACAGAAGCGAACCGTTTTTGGCAATTTTTTAATATTTTCTAGGACGAGGCAGAGAAAAAGGAAGAAAAAGAGAAGAAAAAAGAACCTGAGCCAAACTTCCAGTTATTGGATAACCCAGCCCGAGTTATGCCTGCCCAGCTTAAGGTTCTGACCATGCCAGAGACCTGTAGATACCAGCCTTTCAAACCAGTAAGTTACCTGTGGCCCTTAGCTATACACCTGTGGGATATTAACCCATAGTACAATGGAATATATTGATAGAAAAGGATAAATCTCCACAGTAGTGGAGAAAACGCTTCAGTACTAATAAATCTCTTAGCAAAAGAGAGAACATTTCCTTCCATTCCATATAGTTATCAGGGAGCTTTTCTTTTCTTTGTGTAATACTTCAAATATCCTTCATCTTCCAGAGGTTTATGCCATAGAAGTTCATAATACAGCATAGTTATGACATAGAGAAATAGGAAAGCAATACAGAAAATCAACAAAACCAAAAGTTGGTTTCTTAAAAAGATTAACAAAATTGACAAACTTTTATGTAGATTGAAAATGAAAAAAGGAGATAAGTTAGAGGGAGGGAAGGAGAGATGACTAGGTGGAGCACAGGATTTTTAGGGAAGTAAAACTACTCTTTATGATACTATAATGATAGATAAATGTCATACATTTGTCCAAACTCATAGAATATATAGCACCAACAGCGAACCGTAATGTAAACTGTGAACTTGGAGTGATAATGATGTGTCAATGTAGTTCATCAGTTATAGCAAATGTACCACTCTGATAGAGGGTGCTGATAATGTTAGAAGCTATACATGAGTGGGGCCAGTGGTATATGGAAAATCTCTATACTTTCCACTCAGTTTTGCGATGAATCTAAAACTGCTCTAAAAAATAGCCTATTTATTAAAAGAGATGAAAGATTTTAAAAAATTGCATTAGCCCTGGATTGGTGACAAATTACTTAATTTCTCCAAGCTTCTATGTCTTCATCTATAAAATGAGAGTTGATGACCATTATTATTACATCTATACCATTATTATAGATATTGTCTATATCAGGCTTATAAAAATAAAATCAGTAATTCATATAAGCATCTAGTACCATGTCTGGCACAAAATATACAATAAATGTTGGTTATTGTTATAATTATTCTTACTATATATGGCAAATAAATATGAGTAAGCCTGTTTAATCAAAAAGGGGGGGACTCAAATTACTGAAATCAGGAAACAGAGGAGGCATTACTACCAACCTTACAGAAATAAAAAGGATTATAAGAAAACACTATGAATTACTGTATGCCAACAAATTAAGTAATTTAGATGAAATAGACAGATTCCTAGGAAAACACAAACTATTATAACTGGCTCAAGAAGAAATGGAAAATCTGAATAGACCTATAATAAGTAAAGAGATCGAAATAGACCTGGCCGAGTGGCACGTTGGTTAA